TCCTTCCACCTTGTTATTCCGCGGCGGTGCATGAGAAAATAAGAAGGATCTAAAAATGTACGCCATTATGGAAATGTAAAATATCAGAAGACAGAAAGAAGAAGAAAAAAAAAAAGACAATCAAGTCCCTCATACTTCGTTCCCATTTTGACTATTACAAATATGATTAGTTTAATAATGTGCTACAGATGGTGATTAAACTAGTTACATAAATAATGAAGGGTGTACCCATTCAATTATGATGTAAATAATTATTTTATTTTAAAAACTCTATACACTGTTTCGGCACGAAAATGTAGAAAAAGAAGATTAATTCCTTTCCCTTTTTGTGATTTTTCGGGAACTGTTCCATTCGCACCTTTGAGCAAACATGCTCTAGAAATGGCTTGCCTCTGCTTTTATTTTATGTCATAGGAATTTTTTTATTTTTTTTTTCTCTTTCAAAAAATATAATTGTGACCTTTGATAATTTTTTTTGGACTCTTTCTTCTTTATTAGCGCCTTCTGGATGACTTAGAAAATGCTATTTTTGTACTATGTGGTACAAAGTGGCAAGTCATTTTGATGATGCCTACTAGTACACCTTCTTTTTTTCCTCTTACGTATTGATATACTTTCTCACACTGTATGTAATATTCGCAGTAACAACAGAGTATAAGGTTCAAGGGTTCGAATCAGGTTTTCAACATTGAAAGTTTGCGTTTCTGTCTTTAGGCATAAGATTTCACAAAAATGAGGAATATTGGAAGAACGATTTCTAAGTGTTCTCATATATATGATTTTCTTCAAATAGAAAATGTTTTTTCCTTTAGATGAAAAAATAGACGAATTCTTCTATAGAATTTTATGGAGGTAGAGATTATTCAGCTTAGCAAATTATTTATTTCCTTCCTTTTCTGGATCCATTAAGAATAGCTTAGATAATATTTTTATTTCTGAAACAGTCCTCCATATTTTTCAAGAAGAACAAAATATCTTAGGTTACTGTGGAAAGGTGGGATTAATTTTCTCTCCTGCGCGAAGCTTAGGCAGTCATTACATATGACTACGGAATTGTTTAGTGCGACCTATCTCCATGAGGGCAAGATTTCGTGATCTTTCTGCTATAACAATCTGTTACAGATACTGTTATATATAAGGGTTAGGAGATGTGTGCAGAATTTTTGAATTCTAATGATTTTCTGCTTTCCTTTTTATTCTCACCCGTGACCTTTGTTAATTTTGAACATAACGATTTTGCTATATTGGCTGAGAGAGGTATTCTCAGATGAAGGACAAAGTATAAAATACGAGTCGTATAAATTCAGGAATAGACTTCTCGATAGAAGGATTTTTTCTCGATATTATTCTACAACATGAAGAATATA